GCCACCTTTGGCAAATTAGGATGGATTGATTGGCAATTGGTGATCAGTCCGGTGGGAACAATGCTCCGTCCTCTCGAGGACGCGTGGTTTATGGTCTATTCGCTGAGGAATGCAAAACATTACAATACCCCCCCCCAAGCATATTTTTTATTCCACGCCCCTCCCTCCCCCCCCTCATGCTTGTTTGTGAACCCCTCCCTGTGTGCAACTCCCACTTTTCTGTTCTTTTGGTAGATGTTGCTCGGGAAGGGAGGAAAATCGAAGATGGAAAAGATCTCCAAGTGGCTTTCCGAGCTTGAGACGGCCGGTCTCCAGCGGGTGCCCCTCACCACAAGGTGAGAACTCTTGTTGTTGTCGCTGCTGCTGATGCTGCTGTAGCTGTTGTTATTATGGTTGATGGCATTTGTGCTGCTGTTGTTGCTGCTGCTGCTGCTGCTGCTATTATTGTTGGCGTTGTTGGCGTTGTTGCTGTTGATTTATTGATGATGCTGTCGTTGTCGTCGCTATTGGAGTGGTTGACTTTTAGTAATGCTGTCCTTTCGTTTTTTTGCCAGAAAAGCACAACTATATAGTAGCAGTACCCGCTCGACTCCTTGTGTGTGTATTTTTAAGGGCCTTGTCCCGAGAAGCTGTGAAGGCGGTGGAGAGGGGAGCGGACGTGCGACAGGCTGTACTGGTGAAGAACGCGATGGTCAAGAAGACGTTGCTCAAGGTGCGAGACTAAAACGTCATTGTCGGTGTTGTAGTATAATGGTTGTTGTTGTTGTTGCTGTTGCTGTTGTGATTGTTGTTTTGTTGCTGTCGTTATCGTCGTTGCTGCTACTGCCGTTGCTGTTGACATTACCACTTCCCTTTTCGTTGCTGTTAAACCCCCCCCCCCCCCCGTGGTCCGGTGCGAACCCGGCGTGCTCCGTCCCGGCTTTGTAGGGATGCGAGGTCAATGGTCTAACGACTACGGCATGCGCGACTATGAGTACACCCCCGCCCCCCCTCTCCTGGCGCACTTGTTCTTCATGTGTTTCGTTTGTTCGTTTCAGAATCTCGAACCATCGCAGCTGCTGGCCTACCACGTCGCAGACCACACGGACGCTCCCATGGACACAGGGGGGGAAAAGCCAGACCTTGGCGATAGGTACGGTACAGCAGTGGGGGGCCCCTCAGCAGTGCCGGTTGAAAAGCGCCGGCGGGCGCTGGCTGAATCACAAGTCAAAATTGTTCCGTTCCGTGTTGTGCGTGATGTTTGACCAATCAAAATCGTTTGACGTCATTTTGTTGTGATGGTGACCAGTCAGAATCGTCCCGCGACGTTCTGATACCATTTGTGACCAATCAGAATTTTCCCTACCGTGTGCGATGTTTGATTAGCCGATCGGAATCGTAAACACGCAAGTGCCACTGCTGTCACCAATCACCATGTGCCTACCGCGCGCGATGTTGATTGACGAATCAGAATCGTCAACACGCAAGGGCCGCTGCTGTGACCAATCATAACGTCCCTACCGTGTGCGATGTTTGATTGACCAATCAGAATCGTCAACATGCGGGCAAAGGGGGTGCCATTTGGGGTCTGGGGCACCGTGGTTGCGTGTCACAGCCACAGCGCGTGCGTGGAGGTGGTTTTTGACGAGGAGTTCATCGGCGGGGGAACTCTTCACGGGGTGTGCTCCAACTACAGGTACTGCTGCATGGCCACCATTCTACGCAGGTTTTTCTCGGTACGGTAGCAAGCACACCGGACAAAGTATAGCATCGGCTAAGTTGGGTTTAGGGTTAGAGTTGGAGTCTGCGTACCCCCTGTCTGGTCTCTTTTTTACCATTCTACGCAAGTTTTTCTCGGTACGGTAGCAAGCATACCGGACAAAGTATAGCATCGGCTAAGTTGGGTTTAGGGTTAGAGTTGGAGTCTGCGTACCCCCTGTCTGGTCTCTTTTCGTGATGAATATATTTACGTTCTTTGCGTAGGCAGTCCTGTATGGCTCAGTCAAGTCAGTTATGGAGACGTTCGGCATCAATGACAACTTGTCCACGTCGACCCGTGTTAACCCGCATAGTCTAAGATTTGTGCGACGAGATCGGTCTTAAAACACCTTTCCTAATTTGTACTTTCTCTCTGCAATTCGGTTGGAATATGAAGTACATTTGTTGTTTATTTTTTTGTCTTCGATTTTTATTGATTATTTTCATCTCTGTGCTGTGCTGGTCGTTCGGCAGGCGCGCGCTGGTGCGTATTTCTCATGGCCGGGACCAAACGATTTTCCTCATTTAACACCGTAGCCGCAAGTGCTGTACTCCGAGAAGAAGTCAGACGCTCACCTTTCCTACAAAGAGAACAATTTCCTCGGTTGAAGTATTAAAAGAACATTTCGTGTCTTTTTTTTTTCGTTCCTCAGGCAGTGCGATGGTCCTACGCTTAGCGTATTTAAATCGCCGTTGCTCCACGTGAGGACACCTTGCTCACCGCAAGAGTAGAATTCGCGACTCTCCATTGCCTGCTGCATATACGAGAACTCTAGACCTAAACCTACGTTTTTTTTTTTTCTCGGACAGGGGTGCGCTGGTGCCCTGGGCTACGGTGGCGAAGATCCACACCAAGGCTCGCCTGCAGGCGTTGAGGGCGAAGGCAGCCCCGCAAGCCGAAGCGCAGGGTCGGAAGAAGGTACAGCTGTAGACGTTGTGCCCGTTGTCGTTGCTGTTGTTGGTTGGAAAAAGGCACAGCAGGTGTGGCCTGCGCTCGTTGTCGTTGTTGCTGTTGGCCAGGAAGAGGTGTGACGCAAGACTGATACATGTTGTCTTCGTTGTCGTAGTTGTTGGTCGGGAAAAGGCACAGCAGGTGTGGCCTGCGCTCGTTGTCGTTGTTGCTGTTGGCCAGGAAGAGGTGTGACGCAAGACTGATACATGTTGTCTTCGTTGTCGTAGTAAAGAGACGCTGCCTCCATGTTGTTACACCCCACAGTCGATCACCCCCCCCCCCCCCCCCCCCCTATATGGAAACACGAGTACGCGCCGAAGAGATGGAGAGAAGGAGTAGTCGTGAACCTGTTCAAAAAGGGGGATAAAGCTGACCCGGGGAATTATAGAGGGATAACCCTGCTGAGCACAGTGGGGAAACTGTTTGGCAAGATGATAGACAATAGAATGGGAGACATGTTGGAGGGGAAACAATAGATCAGCGAAGGACAAGCTGGATTTAGACCAGATCGTAGTTGTGTAGACCATGTATATACGTTGAGTAAAATCATCCAACGTAGGAAAGACGCCGGGCGTACGACATACTGTTTCTTCCTCGATGTATAAAAAGCCTACGACACCGTATGGCGCAATGGATTGTGGAAAAAGATGTGGGACATCGGCATCCGGGGGAAAATGTGGAGGATGTTGAAAAATATGGCAGAATGCACAAGAAGTGCGGTGATGTTGGATGGGGAAATTTCGAAGTACGTGGATATACTCCAAGGAGTCGCACAGGGCTGTACGATGTCACCCACTCTGTTTAAGATTTACATCAACGATTTGATAAGGGCGGTTGAAGCAGTAAGACAGGGAGTCCAAGTAGGGGGAAAGAGTGTGTCCGGACTGATGTTTGCAGATGATTTTGTGGGGGTATTCGAAACTCCAGAAGGGTTGCAAGAACAAATAGATGCGGCGGTAGGATACACCCGAAAATGGAGACTGTCGGCGAACGTAGGAAAATGCGCCGTAGTGGTCTGTAACGAAGACAAGAAAAATCCCTTAGAATTCACATGGAAATGGGGGGAGGAAGAACTACCGGTAGTAGACAAGTATACGTACCTGGGAGTAGAGATTTCGAAGGAGTGCTCATGGGACGCACACATAGCGAAGTTGATTGGGAAGGGTAAAGCTCAGATAGGCAAGATGGACGAGATCCTTACGGACCCACACCTAGACACTAGGATTAAGAGGTGTATTCTCTTGAATGTGATTGTACCTAAGCTAGAGTATGCAGGAGAGGTATGGGAAGGTAACGAAAAGGCCGTCAAGCAGCTGGAAACGGTGCAGGTGGCAGCGGCCAAGAAAATACTAGCATGTTCAAGTACAACGAGCAACACTGTATTGAGAGCAGAATTGGGAATGTACTCTCTTAAAACAAAG